AATTTTATAGAAGATACACTGAGGCCTACATCATTTCAAGGATTTAAACGAATATTTTAGACTTCTATAGAAAAGGGGTATATATTTGTGTCATAAAGGGCATTATGGTCAGTTCTTTATCTCTGTGTCATATCCTCAAAGTAACTAATGTAAGTCCTGACAGTTGGTTTTTCTTCTTTATAATGCAAATACCTGCCTAAACTTTGATTGCTGAGGCGTTCACTTCAAATTTGAATAACCCATGGCTAGATACAGGGGCTAGATAAAGAGCCAGGCAACAGGCAGCTTCTCCCTCCCTCTAGCCCCCCAGCCCCAGGCTCTCGGTTGATTTCAATAACTGACCACTTTGAGCTTCCTGCACTTTAAGTTCCTGCTTTATGTTTTAAATTCAACAACGAAGAGTGAGCCCATGAAATACTAGGCCCCCACTCTCTACCCCAATAAAAGCTGAGGCTCTGGCCCATGTGTGCTGAGTCAATAAACCTGTGTCTTTTCAATGTTTCCTGAGGGTTCTTGCTGAGGATGTCTTGCAATCATATTAAGAACCACAATAACCAGCCACAATATTGGTTATCAGGAGGCTGAGCCCAGCGCACGACACTAAGATGACTCATGCTTGTTTATCTCCTAGTGTGTACTCTTGTGTTTGGCTTTTTTTGTTCAACATTATGTTTATGAGATTCACCCATCTATGATTTTGAAAATAATATTTAAATTTTTGCTATATTTTATTCTATTGGATAAATATAACACTGTTTCTCTATTGCATTATTGATGGACATTTGGGTATTTTCCAGTTTGAGGTCATGGTGAATAAAGCTGCTGGGATGGTAAGTTCTTCTCACATCCTTTTCTGTTTCCTCAGAATTCTGAATTATTTCTTGACTTAGTTAATATACAATTACAGATTGGCTTTCTGACTTGTCTAATTTACTACTGATTACTTCCAGGATATTTTTGAATTCAGAAATTATGTTTCTTGTACCTAAGAAACATTATCACTCTTTGATTATAGTTTTCTATAATTATTCTTTCTGGTTAATAGATGTGATGGCTTTTCATAACTTGTTACGGAAACATTTAGTGATATTTTAACTTTTTTGACTTTTATGTTCTACAACAACTCTTACAGCTTGGTCATGGGAATGGGGATTATTAGGAAACTTTACAGCTAAAGAGTGCTTTTTAGTATTAGGAAAAAGTAAATGATTAAGATACTATAATAGAGTGCACAAATCTTAAGTGAACAGTCAAGAGTTTTACAGTGGACACTTTTAAATCAAGTAAGATTTGCCTAGCCGGTATTGCTCAATTGGTTGAGCACCATCCCATGAACCAAAAGGCCCCTGGTTTGATTCCTGGTCAGGGCACATGCCCCCAGGTTTTGGGTTCAATCACCTGTTGGGGCGCATTTTCTCTTTCTCTGTCTCTCTCTCTCTTTTCATGATACAAATAGTTAGATGGTAAATAGATAGATGATAGATAGATGTAGTTTTTAAAACCAACCTAGTGGATCACTGAAGTATCGTGCCATTCCACACAGCATGGTGATGGCAGCAGCTGCGTTGAGTGGCTGGTTAAGGTGGAAGAAAGTGGGCAAGGGTGGGTATTGAGCAGCGTGCCACCTGGCAGTAGAGCAGGGCTCAGACACGTTTGTGCACAGAGGGGAGGGGGCCGTGCTCCACTGTGTCTACACTGCTGGCACAGAGATACACAGCTGTCTGGCTCTTTCGGGTGGATGTCACGGTGAGGGGAAAGAATGGCTTCTTCTCCCGAGAGGCGCCGTAGCCCTCCGCCAGGTCTCCCTGCTGAACGTCCGTCACAACTGTCGAGAAGTAGATCAGTCTCAGCCCTTGCCCTGGGTCCTGCCGGTACCAGTACATGGAGTCATGATCGAAGTTCTGTTCACAGTCCAGGGTCACATCTCGTCCTTCCTCTCTGAGCAGGTATTTTGGGGTCTGAGTGACACCACTACGCACTGTGCCTATGGAAGACAGAGGACAGTTCTGGAAACAAAGCTTAAGAGGGTGCCTAGACTGCTGTTACGAGGGAAAGGCTTAGATCTGGAGTGTGGCACCTTCCGGACAGGAATTTGCTCCCTGAACCCCAGACTCACCTGCTCCCAGGAGACAAAGGGTGATGCAGCACAGCATCTGGGCCATGGTGGGAAGGGAGTCTGCTTGGGCTCCAACCACTTGCAGGAAGACAAATGCAAGAAACTTAGCTCTGGGGATCCCTTGGCTCTGTGTGCAGAATTTGCCAGAAGGCTAGAATGGATAGTGAGAAGGGATCCTGGAGATATCCAGGGCGGGCTTCCTAATTTTTCAGATGAGGAGACAGAATGGAGACCTGAATTACTTGCACCCCATCCCCCTTGTGCCTCCCTCTCTAACATTGATGCTACCTGGCCTGGGTGGGCTGGCCCCCAGCAGAGTGTCACAGCGATTGGCTGATTGGCCGGCTGGTGATTCCTTCCTAGCCATGGTAGGGTTTGATCACTACAGCAGCCTTGTCAGCACTGGTCACTCCAGAATGTGGATTTTATCTTTAGCCCCATTGCGGCCATGGATATATTCTGCTCTAGATCCATCCTGTGCTCATGCCAAGACCCCCTTTCATTCGAGAACCTTCTCTCTGACTGCTTTTACTTTTGTCATTTTTATTCTCTCAGAAGTTTCCCTGTTTCTCTTCAGTGCCCTAGCTAACTTCCATGTGAGTGCTCCTTGAGTATCTTTTAATGGATTCTTCATTTCTTAGATAAGTGTGCTGCTTTCATTTCTTTTCGTTTCTCCCTGTTTTTGACATTTCTGTTCCTAAGTTTTGCACTTCTGGCTTGGGTTGGTTATCTTATCTTCAACGGCTTGCTTGCATATATCTGTTTGGAGTGGAGACTTCAGTTTTTCTTTTGACGCATGGTTGTTTTTCAGGGGAGGCAGTGGAAGGTGAGTTTTTCCCTCTCTCCTATGGATGTTATGTTCCTTTTGTTCATTTTCATAATGTCGGGGTGTTTACAATATAACCAGCTTAATGGGATCCTTTTCCATTGTCCTGGCAAAGTCTGGTCACTTCAGCAAGTTTTGTTTTCATGGGGGGAGGTCCCCTCTTATTTCATGATTCTCTCTTGTTTTGCAGGACTCTAAATTTTCCCTTATTTTTTCTTTTTTCCCTTCACTAAAAGGACAGAAGACCTTTTTTCCTTCCCTTTTGAGTTTTTTTCTCCCTCAGAAGCTTAATATTCAGCTGACCTCCTCTTAAATCCCATGCCTGGCACTTTAAATGGAGTAAGCTTAGAGTCTTAGACCCTCCTCTCTCCTGTTCAGCTCAGGTCTGACTCCAGGGTGACTCCTCAAAGTAGTCACTGCCCCTCTCTGTGCCCCTGGCAGAGAGGGGAAGGACCACACTGTGAAATAATTTCAGAAAATCAAAAGGCAGGAAACACAGCCGAGTAACAGGATTTGTACCCCTTCTTGGTGAAGGTGGACTCCTTTGGTACTTATGCACTTAAATGACTGCATTCATCTGCCTCTTGATTTTCTGAAACTTTTTCACCAAAGCAAATGAAAAGAAACACATACTCTGGATGCCCAACATTTGTTGAGTGATAAGATTTTTAAAAATATTCAATGAGATAACAAAGAGTTTAGATAATAGTTTTCTAATAACTCATCTTCGAAAGTCCAGGCAAATGTATTCAACTCTATTTTCACCATCTCTGGGATAGCCTACAGCTGGAGCTTTAAGTCCCAGCATCCCAGCTACCCAGGTGTTAGTCAACAAAACCAGGATGATTCCAGAATCATTCGGAATAAAAGCCCAGTCCTTTGAGTAACACAAACCTGGTTTTATTTTCCCCCTCTCCCTCCCCCTCTCCCTCTCCCTCCCCCTCTCCCTCTCCCTCTCCCTTGCCCTCTCCCTTACCCTCTCCCTCCCCCTCTTCCTCTCCCTCCCCCTCTCCCCCTCCCTCTCCCTCTCCCCCTCCCTCTCCCTCTCCCTACCCCTCCCCCTCCCATATCCTCCCCCTCTCCCTCCCCCTCCCCTCTCCCTCTCTCTCTCCCTTCCTCCCTCTCTCTCTCTCCCTCTCTCCCAGTTTAAGAAAAACAACAACAACCCTGGAACCATGTTTTCTCATATTGAAAATAAAGACCGCATTTCCTTTGCTTGATTATTTTGCTTTTTCACTAAAATTCAATATCTAAATCATGCAATGGAGAACTTGAAATAGAGTATGAAGTAAAGAAAGGAGAACTGTTAGTCAATAAATATTTAATCTGACAAATTATGTCAACTTTTGCGGATGACAGTCTTAGTTCATGAATATGGACTGGGGGGTTCCTTGCTATTTCTACAGCCCTCTTCTATTCCCACCCTCACCCGGAAAAAATTCCTCACAGGTAATTTGTGCACTAGTCAGATGCCAGGTCCCTTCCTCAGCTGTGGCCTTCTCCCCACCCCCAGCTGGGGCTGTGTCAGGGCGGGGCCTGGAGGAGTTTGTGCCCTGGGAGGATGTGACTCTGAATTGGTGTGGACAAGGAGCTAGCACAGAAATACACTGCAGAGTCGCCCAGCTCTGCCAGCTGGATGTTAAAGAGGCTGGGCCCCTCTTTGGGAAATTCAGCCAAAAAGCGTTTTGTTGGCATTCCTGAGTCGTCCAGGATTTCTCCTCTCCGGAGGTAAATCATAAATTTCAGCCCTTCCTGCAGGAGCTGCCTATACCAGTAGATGTAAATGTGGCCTTTCACTGGGTTGCAACTCAGGTTTGCCTCCTGTCCTCTCCCCAGGACCAGGTGTCTTGGATTCTGGATGACGCTGCTGGCATTCGTGGGACCTCAGAGGAGAAGAGATGGCATGAGACAAAGTCCTGAGGGCAGAGGAAGTTTATAGCTTACAATGAAGTAACCCCAAGGCGAGTGCAAATAGCTTTGAAGTTGCCTGCGTTCATTTAAAAATTCACATGAATTTTGCTTTTTGGTCCATAATGCAATTATTTGTTTTATAGAAATGGCAATATCTTTCAGAAAATCTTTGGGCAACATGGAGGTCAGAGCATATTTGAGGCACAGCTAAAGAGCCACTGACAAAGGCCACTGATGCTGACCCGTTACCCAGAACTCACCTACCCCCAGGAGCCAGATGACCACCCAGCAGCGGAGTATGGTGCCCATGGCTGAGTTGGGCATGAGGGGAGTCCCTGGGCAGTGAAAAGAAGGGTGCTTCCTGCAGCTGCTCAGGGAGCTAGACCTCACAGCTGCCTCCTATGAGGTGGGTCTTCCTGTGACGTCACCATTTCTAATGGATCCTATTGTCTCTGGAGGTGATCTTGCACATCAGTTGAATGGGACATCCTTTTGACTGAACTATACAAACATCCTGGCTTAGTATGTGTTACTATGGGGGCTAATGTGCAGGGAAAGCCAAGAGAGGAGTACAGTGCCTTCATTATTGGTCCTTAGTTTAGGAATGATTAATTTTTACCGTATCCCTCCCCATTTTTTTCTTACCTTCTGTTTCTTTATTTTCATTTCATTGGCTCATGTTATCTTTCCATTTTCTGTTGCTGAGCAGAGGTAGTGACCAGATGTGATATCTAGGTTCACAGCAAAGTGGAGACCAGGGTAACTGGGGAAAAATTAGACTCAGTTTCCTTCTTTCCTCCTTCACCTCAGTCATTTCAAGCATCTCGAGGAACTTTATTTTATGGTTTATAATTTATTTCTCTCATCTCTTATTATTCTATTTGCATTTTTTTTGTTTATCCTCACCTGAGTATATTTTTTTCCATTTATTTTTAAAGAGAGTGGAAGGGAGGGAGAAAAAAAGAGAAACATCAATGTAAGAGAGACATTGATTGGTTGCCTCCCACATGCATCACGACCGGGGCCAGGGATGAACCTGCAACTGAGGTACCTGCCCTTGACCGGGAATCAAACCCAAGACCCTTTGTTTCGTGAGCTGATGCTCTAACCACTGAGAAACACTAGCTGGGGCTGCATTTTTAATATAAGTACCTGTTTTAAAGAACAAATAATAGCAAAATTCAAGCTCTCCCTCTCACCTTGTGTCCCTAGAACAGGGGTCCTCAAACTACGGCCCGCAGGCCACATGCAAATACAAATATTGTATTTGTTCCCGTTTTGTTTTTTTACTTCAAAATAAGATATGTGCAGTGTGCATAGGAATTTGTTCATAGTTTTTTTTAAACTATAGTCCAGCCCTCCAACGGTCTGAGGGACAGTGAACTGGCCCCCTGTTTAAAAAGTTTGAGGACCCCTGCCCTAGATACTATTTGTCTTCCTGTTTTATTCTCTTTAATCACGATGGGTTACTGATGTTTGAGGGGTCTTCCTTCTTTCATCTTTCCTACCCTGTGACATTGAATAAACATTATGTGAAAAGAAGGCATCGTGAAAAGAAGATTCAAAGAAAAACAAGGCAGCCTATTAGAATTTACAGGCTCTTAAAGGAGATGCAATCTATACATCTAGAACCAGCTAGGCTTTGAGTAATAAATAAGATCTGTCAACCTTTAGTGTCCAAGTAATGGCTCAAGGCCTTGCCTTATTAATAGCAGGATCCCAAGGCCTCCCTAAAAAGCTCTCATTATTTTGGGAGGGATTCAGCAGGCTTCCCCAAATATATACTCAATCAAAATGTAGTTGCCAACATCGCTTGGAGTCAGCACAGTTATCTCTCTTGGAAATACTCTAAATTCTCATGAATGCTTTTTTAGAACAATATATTTTTATTGGTTTCAGAGAGGAAGGGAGAGAGAGATAGGAACATCAATGATGAGAGAGCATCATTTGCCTCTTGCACATAACACACTGGGGATCAAGCCCGCAACCTGGGCAATTGAACTATGACCCCCTAGTTTATAGGTCGACATTCAATCACTGAGTCAAGCCAGCTGGGCTGCTCACGAATGCTTTTGATGGAAATGCCATCACTGGGCTCCCATGCCTGTCTCAAGGGACGTTTCCTTGGTGCTGTTAGAACCACTAATGCTCAGGCTGCCAGGGCAGTGTTGGAGTTTACAGAGATGTGGGGACATGAGTTGTCTCCTCCTCATCTCTGAGGTGATGTTGTTACTTAGGCCCCAAAGCAACCCTTCTTATCAGCAGAATCTAGCCAAGCAACTTGTGAATAGTTCCATCAGTTTCTGATTGGTTACCAGTCAAAGAGGTTAGATAAGGACAGATGCCTTACCATGAGATTTTACTCTCCACTCCTCGTTATTGCATGTTCCAAAGCAAACCTCTCTCTGTCTTAGCTAGATCAAACATTGTGATGAGTATGCAACAGATGCAGGCAGCAAAGCATTGTGTTGGAATCTACAATGGTCATATACATTATTGTCCACATTGGGGCCCTTTAATATGTGAAAGAGGGTGCTATTCATAATGATGCCAGGACAGCAGGCCTGAACCAGGAGGGCCATGGTAAAGCCTTTGATCGCCTTACAAAGATGACTTTCTGACACGCTCCTTTCCTGCCATCTGGCGGCAGTGGGGGAGATTGCAAGGAATGAATATGTACCATTTTCAATAGGAATGATGTATAATGTCTCTCCCAACCAGATGTTCTCTGGATCCGTGTAACCTACATGTCCAATATGTTCAGTTATTGCCAGATTGTCGTGGCATGCCTTCCACAGCAATTCCTTATGGTCACGCGGGAAAAACAGAGCTCTATCCTGAGAATAGTCATGTTGGACCTTAGAGACCAAATAGTGCAAGTCTCATATTTTAAAAAGGAGAAACACCGAGTCCCAGAGAGCTGAGAGCACTTGTCTTACAGCTAAAAAAAAAATAAAATAAAATAAGAATTCAGAGTTGATTAGGAATAAGGTTTCCTGACTTTGATTCCAGTGTCTGTGGCCCTGAAGCAGCTGAGTGTTCAAATTTATGAAATAAAAGTCCATGCTCCTTGGGCAACTGTGCAAGGATCTGAGGTTTGAATTTCCTGGAATAATCCTGGAGTGAGGGTCATTTACCAGTGTTTTTTTCTTTCTTCCGCTTCCCCTTCCCTTTGAGAGGTTTGTGGTATCTGCACTCCCACAGTTATTGCCATTTAGTCACTGCCCTGAGAGCGTGGCAGTCTTGTGAGGAGGCACCCCTGTGGGAAAAGGATGTAACACACCTGCCGTAGTCAGCATTCTGTTGTTCCACAGAAAAGTCAGCGCATCTGTGGGGTACATCGATGGGGTGAGACTGCAGGGGGGATGTGTTTGAGATTAAATCAGTAGGAAGTTCTCAGTGTTTTGGTCATGTCAACCTCAGATATCTGGTCTCCGTTCTTGAACATTTTTTATTGGGAGGCTGTATTGATAAACTTGGAACCCACAGACTGCCTGATTCTGCATTATTCTGTAGGAATTTGAGAAGCCCAGAAGCATGCCCAACACAATCATTGAAGGGACAAGTTACCGTCTTGCTCTCTGCTGGTAGCAGCCAGAGATGCCTCAGTCAACCTGGTTCTTCCTTCTGAGGCAAGAAGATGAGGAAGGGATCTTTTCAAGTGTCTTCCTGGAGTTTGGGAAGAGGAAGAAGCCGGCCATCAAGTTTGAGCCCCGGAGAGGACTGACTCAGCCTCCCTGTGCCAGCACCACCGAGGCACAGAGATACAGAGCTGAGCCTCCCAGCTCTGTGGCCTGGACCTTCAGGGTGTGCAATAGCTTCCATTTTGTCTTTCAATTGAGAATCATTCCTTGGGCATCCCAGTGTTTTGCTATTGGGAGGAAATCAGACATTTCATTTCCTGCCTGAGATTTTGTCGATACCAGTAAACAAATATGTAACTAGAAATTGGGTCACATCTCAGAATCACCCCCTGTCCCATCTTTGTGATGTTGTAGCTGGGAGTCTGGCTGCTTCAGGGTTGGAGAAGAGAGAAGCCACAGAGAGTGAAGGGTAGCCCAAGGAAAACATCTTCTACCCAAATTCCCATGCACTCCCCAGCTCTCCCACCCCCAGGAGACAGAGGGTCACCCAGCAGAGAAGCCTGGTGTCCATGGCAAGATCAGCAGGGGATGAGGCTTTCCCAGCAATGGGTTCTGATGCACAGCAGCAAAGAGTTCCCTTGGCCCCACAGGGTGGGATCTGGCCATGACATCATAGTCCCTGGCAAAGCCCACAGCCTCAGAGCACCTTCTGTAGGAGAGGAAGAATCCTTGGTCCAAATGTGTGTTTATTTTGATGCATGGGTAATGTCAACTGGCTCCAACTCATGCCAAGGTTCTCAGGGAAGTTTAAGTTTAAGGAAAGCATAAGAGGACGTGGGAAAGGGAAAAATAATAAGTAGAAAGAGAAAGAGCAAGAAGAAAATGGTTGAGCACTACACTAGGATTGAAATTTATCAATGTCATAAAGTTCTCTTGGCAGAATTCTCAAATGTTAGCATGAACAAAAATCACCAGGAGTGTGGCAAAATTACATCTATTCTGATAGCCCACCCCCAGAAGGTTAGACTCTGACATCTGACCCAGTCCCAGAGTCTACCTGTTTAACCTACACCTCAGGTGATACTGAGGCTTGTTGCCTCAGACCACACTTAAACATTTTTTGAGTAGAGACTTTTAATAAGCCACACTAACAAAAAAGGCCACTTAGTGTATTGAACTGGAATGTTACAATTTAAGGAGAACATGAGAAAATTTTCTGAGAAAGGAAATTTTTAATAGATAGATTTAGGTTCTGGAAACTGCATTTAAAAAAGAATAGATGGCCCTGGCCGTATGGTTCAGTTGGTTGGGCATCATCCCATGCACCAAAAGGTGACAGATTATTGGTTTGATTTCCAGTCAGAACACATGCCTGAGTTGTGGGCTCGATCCCCAGTAGAGGGTGTACAGAAGACAGCTGATCAATGTTATGCTCTCAAGTTGATGTTTCTCTTTCTCTCCCTTCCTCTCTGTTTAAAATTCAATAAAATGTATTTTTTAAAAGAATCGATAGCCCTGGTGGGTGTGGCTCAGTTGGATGGAGCATCATCATTGTCTCATACACCAAAAAGTGGCAGGTTCAATTCCTGGTCAAGGCACATGCCTAGATTGTGGGTTTCAACCTGCTTGGGGTGTGTTTGGGAGGCAATCGATTGATGTTTCTCTCTCTCTCTCTCTCTCTCTCTCTCTCTCTCTCTCTCTCTCTCTCTCTCTCTCTCTCCTGCCTTCCTCCCTCTAAAATAAATAAATAAATAAATAAATTAATTAATTAATTAATTAAAAGAATAGAGGAAAACATGAAAACTAATTGAAAACAATTTGAATAAAGCTGAGAGAAGAGAAATTTCAGCAGAGATGCAAAAGTAAGTCTTTGGTCTAGTAAATATATAATTTTTTTTAAAATCCTCACCCAAGGACATGCTAAAAGAGAGGAAGGAGGTGGGTAGAGAAACATTGGCTGCCTTCTGCATGAACCCTGACTGGGGATCGAACCCTCATTCCAGGCAGATGCCCTGACCGGGATTAAACCTGCCACCTTTTGGTGTATGGGACGATGCTTAACCAACCAAGCCACTCGACTGGGCATAAGTACATGATTTTACTCTTTAGGAGGATAGTTTCACACGAATGGAAATAGTCCAAGAAAAAGCTGAGAATAGCATTCAAAGGAGTGGCTCCTCTGTGAGGAAAGCAGAGTGGTGTCACCAAGACTGGATTTGGAGAGGAACAAAAATGGACACTGAGAAGCACTCACTCTTGAGCCCTGAAAAGAGACTTAAAACAAGAAGCCATAACACTAGATAGACCATAAAGGTGAGAGCTTCTATTTCAAGGGGTCAGAATGAAAAGCAGTGAATTTGGACTTCTGGGAGTAGGACAGCTAGGTTTAGCTTATATTGAAATAAGAACAGATGGGACTAGAAAGAGTATATAAACAACTCTAAAACATAGTAGTGGGTGATATAGAAATGACAAGTTTGTAAACAGAATGGAGCATCAAATTTTAGCAGAGCTACTTAGAACTCTGTCACTGCTCCATGTAATGGAATCACCTCCCTAAGTGGGGTTAATGCCAGAATGCCTCCTTGCTGGTAAATGCATTTTCCTCATTACAATTTGGATCACGTCCCTGAGGGTTTTTCCTTTGTCTGCATCAACTTTCAATAGGTATTTTGTCACTGAGAACAGATTAGTCTGTCACTTCCCTCGGCTCCATAGACACCAATTAGTGACTTTGTAGAGTCTAAAATTGTCATACTGACATGTTTTTTGCATTACCTGGATTCAACTTCTTAAAAAGAAATTCACCAGAGTCTCTACTTGGTCTGACATTATTCTAAAAACTGAGGATTTACTAGCAATTGCCGCTCTAATTCCTTCTTTTTTCCTAGGTTCTCTGTGTCCAGCAAATGTATTAATCATCCTTCATTCCCCACTTGTGATGGGTACCCATTGGGTGTCCTGGCCCCTAGTTAGAGAATGCCTCTCTTTGAAACCCTTGATCCATAAGGTCAAAGTGGCAGGTCACACGCTGCCATGTTGTTCAAAATAACCCACCCTCTTGGCTAAAAGTGAGTTTTCCAAGAGTGTGTTCTTCAGTAAACAGGATCATTTTTGTTTTGTTTTGTTTTCTAGATTTCTAATCTAGCATGAATGAAAGTCATGTTGGTCCTTCTCAATGTGGCTGAAGGGCTGACGTCTGAATCTATGATCCTCTACCCAGTAGGAGATCTAAGAAAGGGAGAAGACAATTAATAACAAGGAAGAGTATGGGGCCAACAGGGTGGGATAGCAAGTGTGTTGTCAAATTAGCCTTGTGATGATTCTAGGACTTCCTTCCAGTTTGTTCTTGAGAAATTTCTATGTCCTCCTTTTGGTTCCATGAGATACACATTTAGCCTTGCAACAAATTCCCCTTTGGCATAAGCTGGCTCTAGTTAGCTTTTGTTATTTCCTTTCAACCTAGTATACCACCAGCTTCCTGAGCTGGGCCCAGCATGAGTTTGTGCACTAAGGTTCACTAATATTTAACACTGTGTGTTCACTGCTGGCACACAGATACATGGCTGAGTCCTGCAGCTCTGTACCGTGGATCTCCAGGATACAGGCTGAGTTCTGGGGACACTCAGCTGAAAATCTCTCCTCGGGCATCTCTGCTTCAAGGATATTTTTGTACTGAAAGGACACCAAGAACTTGAACTCTTTCTTCAGGATCTGTCGATACCAGAAAACATAATCGTGCCCCTTTTGGGGGACACAATACATTTTCACATTCTGTCCTTTCCTTCGATCAGGTGTCCTGGAGTCTGGGTGACTTCTGCAACAACGGAGCCTGTGAAGAAAGCAGACAGAAATTGGAGACTTAGCCCGTGAGCGACTCTGATGACATGGACGGAGGCTTAGAACAGGGAGCTGACAATTTCAGAACAGGGACTGACCTGCACCCAGGAGACAAAGGACCATGGAGCAGATGGCCGTGGTGCGCATGGCAGAATGAGGACACGAACAGAGTCGGGTGTCTGCCTCTTAGGCTTTCTTGTCCCCCGAAAGCAGCTACTCTGAGACGTGATCACTTCATAGAACCTAATAGTCTTTCTATGAAGATGTCACCCCCCCCCACCCACCCAGCACCCACTCAGAGAGAGCAGGGAATCACTCTCAGAGAAGTGGGCCACTGTCCCGGCCCCTCACTCTGGAGCTGGGGTGCAGAGTTCTGTCCATGGAGAGAGGCAGGCCACAGGCATGCTTGACTTGGACTTAAGGACTTGCCAGGCCTTACTGACCTTTTCTTACGTGTATACTGCAACCTATGTCCTCCTTTTCTTCCTTCATTGCTCCATTCTTTTCTTTTTTTTATTTTTAATTATGTTTTAATTGATTTCAGAGAAGAAGGGAGACAGAGAGAGAGATAGAAACATCAGTGATGAGAGAGAATCTTTGATCGGCTACCTCCTGCATGCCCCCTACTAGGGATCGAGCCCACAATCAGGGCCATGCCCTGACCAGGAATTGAATCATAACTTCCTGGTTCATAGGTCAGTGCTCTATCACTGAGCCACACCAGCCTGGCCTTGTTTTCTTTTCCTCCCTTTCTCCTTCCCTCTCTCCTCATGAGGGTCAGATTTGCATCTTGGTCTGATGGTTCTCTCAGCCTCCTCAGCTTCCTTCCCATTTTCTCTCATAGGCATTTTCTAACCCAGGCTTGGCATCTAATTCTTGGAGGACCTTACTTAATGCATATAGAGCAAACTCTAGTAATTTTAATGTATATATAATTTTAATATATCTTACAAGGCCCCACATCTAGCTTTTGATATGAGTCCTATCTGTGCCACTTAAATAGTTCATAGATTTACATCAGGCAAAATAGTTAGACGTGTTATGAATAATGCATGCCCCAGGCAATACATGTCTCTCAATCTGGAACAAGTTCTCAGTAGTTCTAATTCTCCTTACTTGATAAGAAACCTGTGAGATGGTCTGGACATGCCTATGAGGGCACATTCTTCTCCTTAGGGAGAGGATTCATGGGAGGAGTCTACTTCCTGCCTGGGCCTGCCCTTTAATATATTGCTAAGTCCCCAACTTAGATTAAAAAACAGTAAGAATAACAATGTCACTATTTCTCTACTGAAGAGAACAGAATGGGTGATTAAAGTGATTCTGGGAAAACACCACAAACTGAATGTCAGGTGAGGATAGCCACCTTTCCACTCTTGGTTTAACTGTCAATGGTTTTTGTAGGTTTAGGCCCAACTTCCAACTGCAAAGGAGATAATGACAGCCATAAACCCACTTCCTATTGCTGGTGTGTGTGTGTGTGTGTGTGTGTGTGTGAGTGTGTGTGTGT